AGAAGGATCAGTAAAGGATTGGTTATGTATACCACAGTACCATTTTTATCTAAGTTTAAAAAAACAAAAACAAAAACAAAACACCTCAAGGACCAGCTGGTGGCAGTGGTTAAGGCGGCTGATCACACATGGCTGATTACCAGTTCTAGTCTGAACCAGGGCTTGAAAGACATGCCAGGCACGTGCACCCATGTTCCTCAAATCCCGAGAGAACCGAGAAGGGACCACAGTAAGGCAATGGGGGGGTGGGGGTGGGAAGGGGTGCTTTCTCACTTTCCTTTTCTCTCTCTCTCTCTCTCTCTCTCTCTCTCTCTCGTGCGCGCGCGCGCGCCCTATAGCAATTTTTTTTTTTAAAGAGTCATTTAAAACTTAGAATTTAGTCTAGCTGTTGCATTTTTCTCAGTGCTTGTATCTCCAGGTCCAACTTAAATTTTGGAAATAAATAGGAAGAGATGCTTTAATACATTATAAGTCCTTACCTATATATAATGTGTGTTCCTTGATATTCACTTTGGCTCAAGGGAAAACAAATCCTGCGGTGTCACAGTCTATATTTAACACTGAGTCCAGGCGTTAGTGAAATTCTCAAGCAACAGCCACCTGCACTTTTAAAACTTGTCCCCCGGTGGACTACGATACCCAAGAGCACAAGCTAAGCGACTCCCGTGCCGAGCATTGTGGGAATTGTAGTCCTGGGTGAATCTTTCTCGCAGCCCTTGACTCACGCTGATTCCGAGATGGTTGAACCCAGGGGCTACCAATTAGCTGGGGCCATGTCTGTGAGGTCGTGGTCCAACCGGGAATGCTGGTATGAGAGCCTCGTATAATGATTGGTCAATGCATAACCTCGAGGCGGGGCAATAAGGCGGGCGGGGCGACCAGGGCGATTGGGCGAAGAATCCGCGGCGGCGGGCGGGGATTGGCTGCGCGCTGGGTCAGGGCGGCCTGGGTAGGGGCGGAGGAAGGAGGGTAGAGCAGGAAGAGCAGCGGCGAGGCGGCGGCGGAGGCGGGGGGGACAGAGG